CTCTTTGTACTTCTTTATTAAATAAACCAGAAAGATGATCAACTTCAATTGTATGATTTATAACATATCAGGTACTAAAATACCTCTCATTTGGTGGTAAATATTCCTTTCTCGATTTTTTTGTCCTGAATGTATCTCAGGCAAATGCAAATCATGTATGCTTTGTTTTGTGAACATTAGCACAATAAGCACTGGGACAGTTAGGTTCTCTAATGACAATTTTCCATGGAATGAAGCTCTTAACTCAAGCATGCTTTCGTATGAAATAAATTATAATGTAAATTTAATAAGGTTGATAGATGAGGAGTTTATATTGGTTGAATGATTTCCTCGCCTCAGACATATGCAGCTTAAACAACACAGTGGCTCATCAATCAGCACAAGTTATAAGATTGCATTGATTCTAACATTCCCATACATTAACTCCTTCATCAGTACTGAACAAGTTGCAAACACTAATGTCTTGTTTAGTGGTGATCACACAGAGTACACTCTTACAAAACCACCATGAGAGCCATGAAGGAAACCAAGCAACCTTTAATGACTTGAAAAGTTTTATAATATAGATTTATTTATATATATATATAAATAAATATTACATTTTTTCAGTCTACAATGCATTTTATTCATGACATGTTATTGTTTTTATTTGTGTTAGGTAGCTCTGGCCCTTAGGTTATATGAGTATTTAGCGATATAGGCTTTATTTAATAACACAGTTTATCAAACCAGTGGTGGATAACTCGAGGTGTGCAAACTGCCTCTTCTTCCCTAGTATGGGCATCAGGGCTATCTGGATCTAATCCAGGTCATTCAGGAGTCAGGATATGGTCTCTCCTCTTTGCCAGTTAAGAAATATGGATGGAGCACACATTTTAAATAGCACCATTTTAAGTTCAGAGGTGTGCAAATAAAGTGTGATTCGTGTCTAATCTTAGCTGACATTTGCAAGCACATTCATATGTAACGTGAACCAATCAGAAATTAGTTTTCAACAGTTAGTGTATGTATAATCAAAACTTTTTTTATAGAATAGTATAAGGTTTAGGGACCCATGTCAGTTTATTTTTCTCCCATTGGTGGTCACATTTGCTCCCTGTCCCAGAGATGCATCAGGTGAGTGTAATCTCTACAAAGTGAGGAGAATTCCCCTCTTAGTCAGTTAATATAAAACAATTGTTACCAATTGTTCTGCAGAAATCTTTAGAATTTGGGATTTCCAATAATTTTATTTCTCAGTGACCAAATATAGAGGGGGATTCTCCCACAGACCGGAATAAAAACTCAATAGTGGTTCTAAGCCTTTCCTACTCTATAAAAAAAATTTTTGGGCTATAACTACACTTTAGGTGCAGTTGGCCCAATACAGTTGGTCTGATTAGTTGCTGCCTGTTAGTGAACATCTCTGAATTGTGCACAATGCCATTAAATAAAGCCTTTTATGCTGTAAATTACAACTCAATGGGGTTGATTTAGTAAAGGAGTAGAGAATATTCACTTTGTAAAGTCAACGTTCACTTATCTTAATAAATGTGATCAAGCTGTGTTCACGTCAGTCTTCCAATTATGTTATTTTTGTCAACCATCCAAATGTGCAGACAAAAACACCTGTCCATAGAGTCTGTTTCTGAGATTAATTTACCTGTAAAAAGTCTGAAATGCCAGCTTTGGAGCCTACTGTGCATGTACAGACTCATCTGTTACACCATAACAATCTGTCATCTGTTTTGTCCCCTTCTCTCCCACTCGCAATAGAAAAGGGGAAATACTCCAGCTGGCTATTGAGGACCCGAGCTTCAGACCTCTTCTCTTAAATAATTGCTAAAGAAAAGGGGAAATACAATATGTTGTGCTGCCTTGAGGTAAAAGTGTGCCACAAGCATTAGTTAATTAATCAGTTTTTCTGCACTTTCAACCAACCACCTTCTTCAATGCTGCCTATCCCTCAATAATAGGGTGTGTGTTCTAGTAGTCTCTCTCTACCCCATCTCAGTTGATCTTCTCATCCTACCTGTTCCAAATGCTCCCTCCCTGTATGCTAAAATACTCAATCCTGTGCTCATAGGAAAATACATTTTGGCAAAGTCTGCAAATGATATAATGAAGTGGAAAAATGCATTATATGACTGTATTACCTTTAAAGAGAATATGAGCATCTATTTACTGACTATATATGAAAAATGATCAGGTATGAGTTTCCTGCATGTAAAAATTGCTCATACCTTGTTTAGAATAAAATATAGGCTTTTATAATAATAGTTTAACATCACAAATTCTGTATTTTTTAAAATTAAAAGTTGTTCTATAATCTATTACAAACAATGTATGTGAATGGTTTTCTCTCCGGGAAGTTCATGACTTACATCTTTATAATAATTATGCTGTTTATCATTGGTAGTGATAATACCATAGAACCAAGAAGGTTGGCCAAAACCCTTTTCCACCTGATGTTTTGTTGCTATTCTTCAAAGGGACTATACTAGTTTTGGGTCAGTTTTATTTCAGTTTTTTCTTAAAGATTATAACTTTTAAAACTGTGGTAAAACAATAGTTGTACAAATAAAAATGTAGTATGGGACAAAGGAGGATTATTAATATATCACACAGTAGACAGTAGGTTACTTTAAAGCTCTGTTTGCCTGATATTGAGCCTTCTAATAAGGAATCAATGCTCAGAGGACTCATTGAGGCTGATTTAGTAAAGCAGTATAGGCTGCATAGGCTGTTAGCAAAGTGAATGTTCACTGAGCTTAGGTGATGATGAATCCAGTTTTCTTCCCTCGCACATGGTTGGATATGCATAAGGAACACAGGTTTGCCTTTTTGCTAACAGACTTTTTAAAGTGAACATTATTGTTGCTACAAAAGGACATGATTGGACATTCAAAGAGAACACAGCTGCACCGTATGATGTGAACATTCAGTTTGCTAGGTGAACATTCTTTATGCCTTTAGTAAATTAAACTCCACTTTCTTTTAACAACTTGTAGATTAGATGACATATGGCTCTTAAGCTCTTTTGAAATTATTCAGGTATCCTGACCACCATTGTTGTGAACAATTACATTTTGGAGCAGGGAGACTGCACACTGTTAAATTATATTCTGACTTTGGACTTGTGCTGTGCTAGTGTATTGTTTGTTCTGCCAAGATATGAATGTGAAATACCATCTCCATTATGAATCATTGTATACTATAGATATATTTGTGGGTCATTGTTATTTGTAGTGAAGGTGGCTAGTAAACTTGAGCTTTTCAGAAATGCTAAAACCACACTCCAGGAAAAAAAATAGTAATTTACACACCAGAGTAGTTTGCATCACCCACCCCTCCTCACTGTTGTCCATTCACAAAACGTTTGGTATTTTTGCAAAGAGTACAAGGCATTCTATGATTGGAGAGGAAAAGGCAGGGATGTGAAATCATCTCTCCTCCTGCAATCACAGAATGCGTGGTGTGTCGGGTGAAAAAATACAAGATATTTTGTTAATGTGCAGAAATGAGGAGTGGCGCTTGATGCGGCTGGAGCACTTTACTTCTCAAGTCACATTGCTCATTCCCCGCAGTCCCTGGTAGCTTGGCCTTATGTGGAGGATACAGCATGCTGCAAGATGAGGTTTTTTTTTTTTACTTTGCAGCGACCATTCACAGGTAACACACTGCTTTTTAATAATAATTTACTTATTCAGTGTTGTATGTAAATTATCATTTTTCCTGGAGTGTGACTTTACTTTACTTTATACCTGAAAGCATTCTCAAACACATGGTTTAAAGATGTGTTGACATTGTAGCACCAATAGGCCAACTCCTTTGACTCTAATAAGCTGCCTTGTCTTTCTTTAAAGCAAATACTGTACCATTTAGTGTATAAGCATTCCATGAGGTGCCTCCTCTGTTATGCATCATTCATTTCTGTGGACATGTTGTAGCCCATTGTTTATTAAAGTACAGCATCCCATAGCAATAATTAAAAGTAATTTGTCATTGCTCTCACTACTCTAAACTGAGCTGGAATCTCATTGGCTGCTATAGGTATACACAGCATCATTGCTCCCTACCACAGCTATTAAACTTATGAATTAACTCATTATATTCATGTTAACAGCATTCTTTTAAAAATAAATCCATTACCTTGTAATGTTCTAGTACCATTAAGTCCCAGATTGTGCACTGCTGTTAAGTCAGATAATCACACAGACAGATACAGTATTAGCCTGCAATTTGCTTAAATGCAGCTTAATTCAGTAAAAAAAACAAACAATAAAACAATGTGCAAAGCACAGTAACCCAAAGCAGACGATCAGATTTTGCACTACAAAAGTCCAATCAATGACTTGCATTTGAGTTGATTGCTATGAGTTACAGCACTCTGTACTTTGCTTTCTGCAAGAAAGATTTGTGAATGCTGAATCAACTGGGATGCTATACTGAGACCTTGTATATGAGATATTAATGCATATAGGGGAAGACAATGATAAATACTTTTAACAAGCAGTATAACTTATATATGGACCATCATAAATAACCTTCCATGTAGGCCCTTGCAAGAATTTAGATAACACAAAAACTTTTACGGACATAGTCTCCCTCCCCCATTTATTGTACATATTTACAGAAATGGGGAAAGGAATGCTTCCCAGGTTTGTGAAAATATTGTTTTACATATTGTCCTTTAGTTACATTTCTTAGAAATATAAAATGTTTTTTTTTACAGTTTTTGTTTTTTTATAAACCGTTTTTGGTACCTTCACTGTATGCATGATTTTTACTTCATTATCCTGTGATTTTCATAAGAACATTCATTTGCTGACTCATTTCCTTCCAGTTTTTACATCCAACTGATTTTCATTAACTTAGTATTTGCTCTGTCTTAGAAAACTATGCACATTTTGGCATCTATGTGTTATTTAACACATGGGGTTGGAGAACCCAGTGGTCCTTCTTATCACAACGAATCATAAAAAACTTGAAGGCATCAATATTGTCAGAAAAATCTTCCCACTTGGCTGTTTATATTTTATCTTTAAACTTCTGCATATAGTTTTTGAGGTCCTTGGATTCTCCTATGTCCATATCTTGGCACACCCATTTAATATCATCTTCATTGGCTGTCAATAATGACTTGACTGTTGGACAACTGTCATCAGCTGGGATTGTGGTAAAGGTAGTAAATTTTACTCGCTTTCTCTTTGAAGTTGGGGAATGTAAGGGATCGTTTTTCTTGTTTTTCAATGGTTTTTCAGTTTCTTCTCCTGATCGATGTGGGTGGCTTTGCACATTCTTCTGAGTGTTACCATTGAAAAGATGATGACTCTCTTCTAAGGAAATCCCATGGTCTATAATGGTGGTGTGCTCATCCTGCTGTGGGGATACATCTGGTGTGCTTTCCAGTAACTCTGTTTCATTACCCAACCACACCCAGTCATGAGAGTGAGTCAAGTTTGCTTGTCCTTCTACTGGCATTTGCTTGTGACGATATTTCAGAGCAAATGTGGCACAGTTAATTAGGAAGACTAGTATGGCAAGACAGAAAACCCCAAGTAATGCATACATTCCAATCTCCAGATCACTTAAGCCTCTGTGTGCTTGCATAAGGTCACTGTCTTCTGCCTCTCCATTGCTTTTCGGTAAGTCTACTTGGGCAGGAAAATTGGTAAAATCTATTGGGATGTTTTGCAGAGGGCTATCTTCAGAAAATCTGTTTCCATACATCCTATTGTTTAACACCGATCTAGCAGTAGTGCTACCTTTTCGTATTGCACTTTTATCATGTTCTAGAACAGAGTCATCAAACCTTCCATCACTACCATAACGGTCATTGTCTGTAATCTTCTGTTTGCGGTCACTGGTGTGATTCTCAATTTCCTCCTCATCATACTCACGCTCACCAGGAGAAATTGCATCATTTTGCCCAAACTTGACTTTGATATATCCATTTCCTACAGCAAGAACACTTTTTCTTTTTGACTTTTGGCAAGATTCAGAAATCATGAAGTCTACTTTCACCAGAGCTCCTTGTCCTTCCCCTTCTGCTATCACTACGGGCAATTTTATTAAACTACTTTGGTGAGTGGAGACAATGGATTCATCAAGGGATGTAGCAAAAATGGAAAAGTCTTTGGAATCATAAATATCAAGGGGTGTTACAACTCCATCACTGAACTGTATCCAGACACTGACCACTGCTTCCTAAAAGAGGAGAGAAAAAAACAATCTGATGTAATTTACTGTGGTTTACATTTTAAGAAATACATGCATATGTGTGAATATTCCTGCAGTCTGATTGCTCAATTAGCTTCAGGTTTGAGCTTTATGGGGTTTTTTCCTTTATTTTAAATTATCAAAGGTCCCCCCTTTCTAAAATACCAACACCAAGAGGTAAAACAGTACAACCATACATGTTCAAAATTCTGCAAAGAAGGTCTTATGTATGACCTCACACTGATTAAAAATGTCAGCACTAAGATGTTTCAGGGTCTTTCTACTACGTTGTCTGGGGAAGGTAATGGTATTAGGGGGCATAGAACAAAGGTCTTTGGACTCTTGTGAGTATACACAAATTTGTAATTGCAGAATTTTGTGGAAGGGAAGATGGTTCGCTATAGGTTCAAAGTGTATGGTATCAGAGCACACAGTAGAGTTACTGTGTTATAGACATCCATCTATTTTAGCTATAGCCCAAATGTTTATGGGATATTAGAATCTCTTCTAAGTAATTATATTTAAAAAAAAATATAAATTAAAAAACTATAAATAAATATATTATGCAATACAATTATTATTTAACAAATAAATACAATACTGAAGGTTGTGTTGCAATCTTTCCCCTGCTTGTAGATTGTAATCTCTCAGAAGCATATGTAGACTGGTTTACTGTAGAAGTTGAGGATCTTCACTAAATAAATATTCACTTTAATTATGTGAAAAAAAAATCCTGTTCACTTTGAATACCCATTTGTGTGCAGATAAAAACATAAACAGGAATTTGCTTGGATAATTATAGTAAATATTTACAGAATTTGAGTGAATATTTTCAACCCCATTAGTAAATCAGCCCAATGGAATGTCAGTAAATAAAGTTTAAAGAAAAGGGTTCCTGCCTTATATGTATATAAACAGTACTAGCCATTCCCAACTGATATAGATGCAAAAAGGTAGCATTCACTAGCAACTATATTCTCTTTTTTTTTTGCAACCCTAAACTATAGCACATAAATCATGTGCTATTGGCAGGTGTACATTATTAATTCTCATGTTTATGGCAATCTCCAATGCAAATTGTATTCTGATGAATTTTAGATTTTTGCTGCCATGAAAAAGTGATCAGTGATATTGAATTTTAGCAAAATAATTGACTGCACAATTTATCAGATAATTCAAGCTATCTGAAGTAGTCAGTAGTGAGCACTGGAAAATACTGGAAAATCCATAGTAAATGTACACATTATCTAGTTAACGTTAAAGTCTGCAACAAAAATAGGGCTGCAACCAACTAATTTAAGAATAGTTGTCAATTATTCTCATTATCAGTTAGTTTGTTGGATTCCCTAGCTCTCTCCTCCGCACTGGGAGGAGGTCACAGCAAGCAGTGGGTGGGTGCAATGTCCACCCTGTCCAGATATAAGTACTGCCAGACCACATATATTTCCTATGGGCACAAGTGTTGAACACGTCACAGTCTTACAATGCTGCTTACAACCTTTAACAACAGTAGAAGTGTTTCTCATTCTCATTAATCATCATGTTCAGTACATTGATTTTCAGTGTTTCACAACATTATCTGTCACTATTTGTTATCACGTAGTTTTCTCTAATTTTCCAGAGAACTATATAAAGCACTAGTGAAATCAAGCAATATTGCTTTGCTTTACTAATGCTTCTTCGGGTTAGTTCTAAATTGAAGTCCAAACCGTCAACCTAAATTTTTGGCAATAATTCTCATCCAGTAATTAAAGGAGAACTATGAGGTATAACTTTTTTGCATTCTTAGTTTTCATATGATACAGGAGTACATTTTGCAATGTACTCCTGTAATCAAAAATGCACCATAAGCTTACAATTCATTGTAATATACTGTGGGCGGGCTAAGCTCTGTGCTGAGAAGCTAGCCCAACAATATTGGCAGGATCCTCCTCTCCCATTGACTGTTCATGAGAACCTGTGGAGGCGCAGTAGCTCAGGGCACATTCAATCAGAGTTAACACTAGCACATCCATCCTGCAGTTTGTCCTTCATCCACTTTCCTCTCTCTCCTCCACACTGCTGTTTCTAGACAATACACATAGAGGGGACAAAACTGGAGCAGACAAAATCTGGAGCAGCTGTGCATGGCAACCAATCTGCTTCTCTCTTCAGTTTGTGCAGTTGAGATTTGAAAATGAAATAGAGATGCTGATTGGTTGCAGTGCACAGCTGCTCCAGATTTTGTCTGCTCCAGTTTTGATACATTTCCCTCATACCCGTTTGCACTAAGACCAGAGGCGTCATCGCGTACCGGCACTAAGACCAGAGTACCAGGTGACACCCAGCAGTGACGTCATTGCAGTGACGTCACCGGCTGAGAGAGGAGGGGATGCCGCTAAGGTATCCCGCTGGGTCCCCTCCTCTCTCAAGCAAATGTCGGACTCTCAGTCCTTGACCGAGTGCCCGAATTTTCAGAGGGGGATGACACAAAAATAACTGGCAGTCATTTTGGTGTCACCCCTCCAATGGTGTCACCCGGGTGCAGGCCGCACCCCCCTTGTGAAGCCACTGACTAATACCGTTACTTCAGCTTCGTCCTTCCCCCACCTTCCTCCACTCTGCTGTCTTTATCTCTTCTTCTCCCTGTGTATGTCCCAAGACAACAGAGGGTAGGAGAGGGGGTGAGGATGAAACTGAACTGACAGTCTTAGTGCCAATGTGGTATGTGTATTGTCTGAAGATGGCAGTGTGGAGAGGAGAAGGAAGGGGGGAACGAAAGACAAACTACAGGATTGATGTTCTAGTGTTGGTAGACCTGTGATCTGATATGAATAAACTTTGATAGGATGTGCCCTGAGCTGCTGTGCCTGCACGGGTTCTCACGAATGCACAGCAGCTCCTACAAGCTGCTGTCTCTCAATGGGAGAGTAGGAGCCCAATATTGTTGGGATAGCTTCTCAGTACAGAGCTTATCCCACCCACAGTATATTGCACTGAATTTTAAGCTCATGGTGTATTTTTTTTTATTACAGCAGTACATTGCAAAATGTACCCCTGTATCATAAGTAAACTAAAAATGCAAATAAAGGCGTACCCCATAATTCTCCTTTAAGGTAAAAAGTATTTTTTTCATTTTTGGTTGAACTCAATAAACATGACTCTGTGACTATGTAACTTTGATGTTTTAACAAAGCTGCATGCAAAGTGGTAGAACAGTGTCAAATATTTTAGTAAATTTCCCCACCAAAGAAAATTGGTAAAGTGTGGAGATACCTTATCAATTCACCAAGACTCAGAACTTCATGACCTGAGTACCTGCAAATATTGCAAAGTCACTGCATTTCTTAATTACTTTTTCTAACTCCAGTTCAATTCCAGTTTAATTGAATTCACCAAGACAAGTCGCCCACTATACTGTATGCTGACAGTGCAGAGCCGCACTGCAGCCAGGAGAGATTCCGACAACATTGTCAGGATCCGACTGCGTGCCTGATTGCCGGCTCTAGAGGCGAATCTGGCTGTGCCTACCCCCTCCCTGTCTGTCCCTCTATTCAGCGCTGGACAGTATCAGAGTGTATTTCACTTTACCCATAATTATCCTTTAACTGCAGGCATTATATCAAAAGTATTACATTTATGATGGCACTATCTAGGCAACATAAGTAGAAAAATTGAAGTAGAAATATGAAAAGAATGGCAATGGTGCATTCTGCCCATATGTTTACCAAAGCAGTTTTTGTTTTTCTGAGCTTCCCTGTAACATTTTATTATCGGCTTCATCCTGCCATAGATTCAGTCATTTTCCACCACATGTAACAGGGTGACAATGTTGTTTGCACTGCAGTGAAATCATTGCAGCATGGTCATTCTGTGAACATGGTAGTTTTAGATGGATTTTAGGTAAATAACAAATTATTTAAAGCTCAACTCCAGCTAACACTTTTTTAACAGTTATAGCATCAGTTTATTCTAGAAACAAACTTTAAACAATATGAAAAAAAGTTAACCAGTGTAAGTGCCCTGTCAGCGTAATAGTTTCTCCCAACCCCTGTAATTTGTTTATTTTTCTAAGCAGCTTGGCCTTCAGGTAAAGGGTGAGAAAAATATTTAAAAAAACATTAATATTCATATAATTACAGGTATTTACCCCATACAGTTACTAGAATACAATACTTTTCACCATAACAGGTCTGCAAAGTGCAAGTTTACCCTTGCAGTTCAATAAGGTAAACATCTTATTCATCACATTTACTGACACTTATAAATTTGAATAAAAGTTTAATGTCCCTTGTAGATTATACTTTCAAGATTTTAAATGACTTTTGCATTGTCACTTACAAATTTCCTTCAGAACATTGTCTTATACGGAAGGTGTAAGTGCACTTATCTTTATGGAAGCCCCTCCCCCAGGATTTTTAAACTGTACTGATTCAAAATGCAACTTCCTAGAGGCATTCCAGTCCATGGCTGGCCTAAATTACATTCATGTCAATGGAAGGCCTGGTAGACAATCTTTGGGCTGGCATTCCATTGCAATGATTGAAGGTTACATTCCATATGAATTTATATATTTAACCATGCTTAGGTGTATAATTTAAAATATGCATGGTATGCTGCAATGCCACCAGTAAAACAACTGTTCATAAATATCAGATCCTTATGCACTGCGCTATACCCAATAATTAGTACTCAATAAATGTATCAAATTTACAACTAAACATCTTATGATTGATCCAATTCAATCATGTGCATCACGTATAATTAAACAGATATTGTGAAAAAAAATAATATAGTAAGTGTTATAATAAGCACATAAATATTCCAAATACTGTGTTTTTCTTCTTAAAATTTCCAATAGTCAATGAAACTCCCCACTCTCCCGAAATGTGAAAAAGAGAAAAATAAACATCTTCTGTGGATTGAATACCCATCAATCACCATGCATAACAATAAGGGATGCTCAGATATCAGTTCAGATACCAGTGCCAATACTTGGCATTTTCACGAGAACTACCAGGGTTGGAGCAGTTGCAGCTGGGACATATCTCTGGTGCTCCACCACTGTCCTGAAATCATTATTTGTATTGTTTTAGAAAACTGTCACATGACAATAAACAAAAATGCATCAGTACTTGTATCTGTGAGTACTTGGACAAGTAGCAGTATTTGTACTTGGAAAAATGGTGCATCCCTAATATATATTTATAAAAAAAAGTAAATCATACATTAAAAACAGGAATCCTAGGAGCCCTGTATGCTCCTTATAAATGACAGCTGCCTCCTAACTTTTGAATTTTTCTCTAGTCTAGTCTTGGAGCTGGAAAAGTATCTGTACTTGCACTTGTACTAAGTATGGTACTTGGTATCTGAACATCCCTCATTACAATAGTGTCCAAAATTCTAATGTGTATATCTTCACAGCACAGTGCTCAAAAGACTTGTGAAACTGCACTCACCGGACCCTAAAAGGATTAGCCATAAGTGCTCGTTACATTCCAATCTGGCAAGAGCTCCTCCCAATAGCCTCTACTTTCTCCTATATGCATCAGGGATAAGGTGCAGGGCTGGAGAGATCTTGAAAATTTGCTGTATGGTTATGGATTGCATAGAAATGATTGCTAAGCTGCATTTCAACCCTGCTATTGCCTGTTCACACAACGTCCGTTTTCTGTGCTGACCTGATCCGTACGCTCCTGCACTAAAAATGCATTCCAATGTATCCCTATGTGTTTTATGGGCTACAGTTCCCACGCGTGCAGTCCGTTCAGGTTACGACACAAAAAATACTGCATGTGACATTTTGTAGGGTCAGGAGATGGTCCGGAAACGCAAAACGTGTCAAAAACGCATTGCACTGCAGATAACATACTGACAGCCCCACTCCAGCAAAAAAAATTAAAAAAATAAATTTAAAACTGGAACGCATAAAAAAACGCGACAAAAACACATAGCACCGCGTCTGCAGATCTGCGCCTGGTCCGGACCTGATCAGGACCTGAAACTCATGTGAACAGGCCCTTACATTTCACGAATCAGTAAAATATGCTGTTTTGTGGATGCTGTTAAGTAAAGTATGGTAAGTAGTAAGGAACAAGCTCATCTCCATATCTGATTATTTTTTTATTCACCTAATTACATTTCATGAGTTATGATTGCCTAGATGTCTGCACTGTGTGATACTCCACAGATCCCACAAGTCAAAATGCAGATAGATGATTAGAAAATATGCAAATCACTGGTTCTTCTAAATTCAGTCATCATTAGAAAAAAGTAAAATTTAACTTTAGGTTTTAGATTTCAGGTGGAGGTAGCAAGCACATTCTTAGATTAGTTTTTAACAAGTGTTGCTGAGGAAAAGTCAATGTCTGATCACCGTGTTAGGGAAAACCTCAGTTTCAATGTAACATTTTGTATTGACTTGACAAGCAGTAAGCAGGTGCTTAATAAAGGTAACTGCCAGAAATGAAGGCTGACAATGCTATTTCCAATCAGGTAAAATGAGATGTAGCTGTTTAGTAATTAACAAACACAACTATCTGTCAGTCCTGCCACTAAGTGATTGGGATGAGGGCAGGCGTCTCTTTCATTCCCCTTCAGATAAGCAGCTTCCAATCCATCTAGATCTGTTGATAGTAATTGGAGAACCTTGTCAGGAATAGGACTGGATTTATTGATGTGGTTCATAGGATTTGCAGAAACAGCTTTCTGAAGGACACTACACTAAATCATGGCAACTTTTTTCTCTTAGTTTAAGGCTTTTCAATTGGGAATACAAGACACTTCAAGTGATTCCCAAGACATTTATGTCATGGAAAATGTAAACATGTATGCTTACTGTTAATTTCCATATTGTATCATCTAAGCATGTGGTACTTGAACAGCAAGAAAATACCATAAAAGGGGTTTTCATTGCTGTATAAATAATTGTCAAAGCCTGTTTAACCATTTCTATTCAAAGAATAGTAACATGTGCTATTGTTTTTCATGTTTGTGTTCATAAAATTAATTGCACATTGATCCACAAGGTATTTGAGAAACACTTAGGGTTAATTCACGCCAGAAACTGCATCACAACTGCGTGTGTCTGCGCAGTTGCATTGCGATCCATTTTGATGCGTTTTGACGCGTTCCGATGTGTTTATAAAAATACATAAAATGCTAATTCCTTTTTCCTGTCAGAGCATTTCCTTTGTTTGTTTTGGAGCTCAGACATGCTTGCTTTGTTGGCAGGCATGGTGATAATGTTGGCTGTACCTACAAAGAGGAAGTCCCTGGATGATGACACAATCAATTCTGTGTTGTTGTTTTTTTGGATGCGTTCCGGTGCGTTTGCATCCATTTTTGATGCGTTCCAGTGGATCAGATGCGGCTAAAATAGGATGAGCAGTATTTTTTCTGACTGCATCTGAAAGGACTGCAATGGTGTGAATACAGCACAAGAAAGCCCATAGGTAAGCAGTGTGATGTATTTTGGCTGCAGCAGCCAAACTGAACGGACTGCCTCACAACTGCATATGGTTTGAACTAACCCTTATAAACATAATAAAATTGTATATGCTGAAAATTATTTATGTGGTGTAGTACCCTTTGTCCAATTTATAGCATATTCTAAATTGTACTGCACAGTATATTACATAATAGGCAGGCATGCCAAACCAGCACAGATCTTATTTTATTCAATAAATGAAATTAAATAATAGGGATGCACCGATATCGTTTTTGCGGTATTGAGTAACAATTTTTTTTTCACCGGTACTCACCAATACCGAATGCTGATACCGGAAGTCCCATTAAGGTACCTGGCTTCCTGATTGGCCAGCTTCTCGACCAATCAGGAAGTTAGGCGGCGAGTCATTGCATGCTGCCCGGCTTCCTGATTGGCTGGGAAGCCGGCTCCATGCTCCCTTGTCACCAAGTGACAAGAGAGCATGGAGCCGGCTTCCTGGCCAATCAGGAAGCTAAGCAGCATGTAATGACTCACTGCCAGGCTTTCTAAAACCAAAAGTGTGGGTATCGGGCTAAGCATTTGGACGAGTATGAGTACTCTCCCAAATACACGGTATTGGCACCGATACCAATACTGGTATTGGTATCGGTACATCACTACTCAATAATGGTACTTACAAAAATTATAGACCTAATGTAAGAAAAGTCTGCTAAAGATAAAAGTGTTCTTCTTCATAGAAACCAATCAGTTTTTGTACATTTTTACAAGCAAACCAAGGAATCTGGTTGCTATGGGGAATATAAATATTCACCATATAGTGACTCTTTTCCTAATTAAATTTAAAAAAAAAGGTGCTGCATGGAAAAAAAAGTATTGTAGGCCCCATTTGCACCAGATCTGTTGTGATATGTTGGTGTCTGTTTTTCAATGGTTGGGAACCAAACAATTTATAGGTGTGAATAGAACCAGTTCACATTTCTGCCTTGCATTGCAATGCCCTCTGCTGAGTTTTTTTAGTGCAACGCTAAAGATGTCAATGAAGTATGTAATCGTAGGTAAACGGAACCTCAGTTGACTTATGTTTAAGGTCTAATTTTGGTGTGAATGCAGCCTCAACGCTAACCTGTCCTGCTGCCCATGTCTCTGATCCTTGCTGTCTTTAAGACATGGCACTGCTGATGTCAATACTGTGTCCTGTAGCAGCTGGTGGATGGCAATGCAGAGTGCAGAAAAGTGTGGAGCAGGACAAGGCATCAGACAGATTCTTCATCAGCTGTATCTTTTCAAGACAGCGAGCACAGGTCACAACACTAAAATATTACACCTCTTACAAAACATGAGTAAAGTTAAGAAATACTGTGGTGTCCTATCCATCCTTAGCTTTCTGACTGCAGAGTGAAATATTTCAACCCTCTGCTCATTCTTCTCTCTTTTCCTGTCAATGTTCCATGTCAACATATTTGCATGCAGCATTCCTAATTGGTTCCCAGCACTGCCCCTCCCTTTCCAAATTTTAGTGCTGCTCTACAGGGGTTGCAAGTCAAATTCAAGTACTTAAACTAGTTTTAAAATGATACATTTATTAATTTATTATTAAACACAGAGAAACATTAGTTTGTCTTTTACATCTTCCTGCAGTTCAGCCTCTAACTTATTAAGTTACATTTGGTAGACCATTTTATATTGGTAATATCAATGTAAAGGCCTTTCCACACGCTTAACAATAAGACTGAATCTCCTTTAAATTTCTTTGCCCATAACATGACATTCCTGAATCGTGACTCTACCTGTTTGGGAGTGTGCAGCAGTTCCTGGGCCACGGAGGTGGCTACAACAGCCTTGTTATTTGCTGTGCCGGGCTGAAGGTAGAGTGACAGTCCGGAGACAAGTTGCACTCCGATGTCTGTTATTGTCACTTTGTCATCTAGCACTGTCACTGTCTTTTCTGCCAGGATGGAATCGGAGAGAGGGGACATCACCTACAATGCACAAAGAGACTGATTTAATAATAAGCAGGATTATCCATTATTTATAGATTCCTTCCCACTGAGCTAAAATAAACAGAAATCAGTATTTTCTTTGGCATGGTCTCATTATACAGTTTTGAAAAAATAGCAAATCATTTACATATAGCTCTATTTTCTATATTTTAAAGAAATTCAGAAAATATTGGTTATTTTCAAATTATATTAATTTATAGTCTACAGATCTAACAAATGCTATCCCTAGCTGATAAAAAAAAAGATTACTTGGCAGTGGCACTGTTCAGCTACTTTCCTTAGGTGACCTTTAGTTTGGACACTCACCTAAAAACTTCTATTGGCAATAGGAAAGAAATCTATAACATTAGTGTCGCATTTTCCAAGGTATACTTACAGAATTTGTTATTTACTGGCTGACTTGCTATCTCCCACTTCTTTAGATGGCAATGTTTTTTTTTTTATGGAGGCTAACAGAGTATCTATGCCCATAGCTCTCAGCTTGTGTAGCAAGCGTTTGTGTGGTACTGTATCAAAAGCCTTTGAGAAATCCAGATATACCACATCTACCGGCTTACCTCCGTCCATATCTCTACTTACCCCCTCATAAAAAGTTAGCAAGTTTGTAAGGCACGAACGATCTTTCCTGAACCCATGCTGATTGTCATTAACTATCCCGTTTTCCTGAACAAATTCTACCAGATAATCCTTTATTATGCCCTCTAGCATTTTACAAACTACCGATTTTAGATTAGTTATCTTGTGCTAGAAATGTGTTCCTCAACTGTTTTAATATGGTTGGGAAGGATTAGAAACTTTATAATGTTGGCAGTATCTAGGCAGATTTGACCTTATTGCCTGTGGCTTAAACTGCTGGTGTCAGGAATACAAGGTACTGACCGGGTTACAGTTGGGCATATTGTCACCATATTGTAGGATTCCTGTTAGTCACATGAGCATCATGCTTGTAGAAAACAATAATGCATATTGGTTAACTTGTTTAGGAACAGAAATATTTTCTCCTGATTAGATTTATTACTAATATCTAACAATCTTTTCTTTACTCAATGTTGCCTTGTGCGCAAATGTGCAATCACTTTTCATTTTTTGTTGTCCAATGAGTCTTTTATTGTTTAAACAAAGTACAAGAAGTTCCTTCATTCTATATTTGCAGTGTGCATCAACTTACATACCTGTATTGTGGTCATTCCAACTTCCCGCCCAATCAGTATTCTTCCTTCTTGCAGTTTTGCAACATGCGGCTCTTCCAGTTTCATGAAATCTGTCACCAAATCTGTCACATCAAACTGCCAATCAGAACCCAATAGAAAAACAAGCTGTCCAAGAGGACCAGGTTCTTCAGCTACAAACTGAGTAAGAACCCGAACCATTGCATGTTGGTACTGTAGTGAGCAACCTCTTCCTCTGCGCTCATCGTCATCGTCATCATCGCTGTCTCTTGTGGGTCTACAGAACGAAATTTGAATTGTTATAACTATGCATTGGTGTACTAAGTGCTGTGTAAATTGTTGGCGCTATATAAATACCTACAATAAATAGCATGACCTGCATATATAAAGGCTTATGCAGACAGACAAATGCAGTATGCTTCCACGTGCATTCAGCTTGCATTTGAGATATATCTAAAGGCATAGGGCAGCTTTTACAAAAAAAATAAAAAACGCACACACATTATTAAAAGGCCAACTGTACATTTGCAGGTGCAATGCTCAGGCTCCTACAGTCTTTTTCTCCCAGTCCCTGTCTGTACCGAGATATGGACTTTCAGTTATGAGACCAGAAGAAGTATCAATGTACTACAAGTGCAGGGTTTTCACCGCATTTGTACTTAATTAAGAACTTTGATTCCCTCTGCCACAGTAACAGACATAACTTGTAGTCTCTGCATTGACAGATCTTACAAATGGATCTATTAATGGATAATGCGGTTGTGCGGGTGCAGCCATGCACAGTCACGCCAAAAAAGTCAACAGCCTGCGAAGAGACTAACCCTGATTCAGGTAAGTGGTGGGGCTCTTTAGGGGTGGGGTTTTTTGAATATGTGACCATATTTCATGCTACATCCTAAAAATGGGTATAATATGACACATGGTCGGAAAAGCAAACTTGATTTTTAAGCTGAGGTAATCCAGAGCAGCTTCTGAGCTATTTTTGCATTTCTCTTGACTTAAAGTGACATTAAACCCTCAGATTTTTTTAACATAAAACAATACTGTAATGTGTGCCTTACTGTAATCCATGGTTGTTTCCCTTCTCTTTGCTGCTCTTCCTTTTAAATCTGTATCTGTTCTCATGCTGGGCAGAACTTCTGTTTTGCAGCAGACTGCCTTGTCTCAGGAATGGATACACGGTGTCTGTGTATATGTTTGTATAGGCTTTAAACCTGAGCCAGCACTACAGGAAGTGGCCCTGAGCTGAAAAGGGAAGTTCTTCCCCAGCATGAGAAGACATGAGGATTTAAAAGGAAGAGCAGCAAAGAGAAGGGAATCAACCATGGATTACAGTAAGGCACACATTACAGTATTGGTTTATGTTAAAAAATCTGAGGGATTAATGTCACTTTAAAAAATAACCATTCATGTAAAGAGGCCCTAAGATTACCACTGTGGTTAAAAGGTTGCAGAGAGATCTACAAAAAATATTAGAATACATCTTATTTGCTATGTTTATTTTCACTACATATTGATATATTGATTTAGTGATTTTGTTTTTATTATATAGACACCTCTTCAGTTTCTGCCAGTCATCAGAAAAGATTACATAACTCAGTGTCACATGCAATGGGGGGAATATATCAAAACTGGAGCAAACAGAACGTGAAGCAGTTGTCCATGGCAACCAATCAGAAGCTCTCTTCAGTTTTCCCAGGTAAGATTTGAACATGAGAGAGAAGGTGATTGGCTGCAGCGCAAATCAGCTCCAGATTTTGTCTGCTCCAGTTTTGATAAATTCCCCCCAATATGTTTACTGTGTTTGGTCTGATTGATATAATTGATTGATATTCTCAAGAAACAAGATAGACCCACCTCCTGTTGAAAATAATGGGCACTCTCCATCCTTTAATCTGGCTGAGTTCAGTGTCAGAGATATCTATCTGCAGAGGCAGTCGAGGAACCCAGATGGTAATCTGCAGAGGTGCACTCAGATATTGGTATGTGAAGTTCACCATTACGCCAACCTTGCCCTTCATCTCTTTTCCATTGACAAAAACATAGTCACATCTTTCTGAAACCTGAAAAACAAAGCAATATACTTAAGGTTGACAGTAATAAGCTGTGTTTTATTTATTTATATCCAAATATCTACTGTCCATACTGTATTTATTTATAAATCCAAGTCTGTGTGGTTTTATTAAAAACGTATAGATAATATACATCAAAATTGATGTAAGATTGTGACAGGTAGTTTTTGATTTGCAATAGTGTGAAGTGAGATGAAGCAAACCTATACACTTCAAATATTTAATCCTGTTAAGGGGAATATGATCAAATAGAGCTTCTCCTATCTCAAAATGCCATTCACACTATAGTAAATCAGGCTCAGAGAGTTTCTATGCAATAATCTTTTCCTTAATGAATGCTCTTCATACAGTACCCCATTTGTATCAAAACTGTGCACATATAAACACTTTACTTTCCATTCTCTCACTTAAGGGACACAACAAGCCATAGAATGATACCCATAGAGGGAAAGGGTACGTCACTAATTAGAACTGTATTTGGTACACTTTGCTGATGTAACATGATGAAAACCATAACATTTTACAGCACACCATTTGTGGTAGCAGAAATGCCAAGTCGTGGCATTAAATGTTGAGAAAAAATGTGCAATGCCTTCACCACCTTTAGGCTTCCACCCTTTTTGATGCAATGACATAGTTAATGCAGGAAGCAGATCAATGTTCTCAGCGGTGTACACGCTCAGCAGAAGTACTTCCTAAAAGGTGGTACCCAGGGCAGACCAGCCCCTCCAAATACATCACAAAATAAAAAATATAAAAACAATTTACACTAAACAATGGCAATCTGCCTTTGTAGAATAAAAGAAAATTGGCTCCTGATTTAACTTTCTTGAAAATGCATAACCTAGCTGTTAGTCAAGAAGAGGCAACAGAGGTAGCAACCCTGTGGCATCCTATAGGAGTAATGACTGTCCTAGTTACAGATATGGCTTTGCATGTGCCAGCCAGCAAGGATTTTAAAGAATGAATTATTGCTGCAGATTCAAGTGACTACAGCTAGATTAAATAGAATGGACCAGAACTGGCCACTATACTAAACCACATTATGGTAATGGATTGCCCAACTGCCTGCCTAAAAGTCAGGTGGTGGAACAAGGTAGGGGCACATGATGTGCAAAATGTACCTGCTAAAAGTCTGCTGTGGTTCATACAGTGGTGTAAGCCATTGCAGCGGGCCCGGGGTAGGAGGGAGCCCTATTGGGGGGATGATAAGGAAAACTTAACTGTGAGGTTTCCAGTATAGAAGGACTAAAGTCAGAGCTCAGGATTGTCTAGTCACAGATCCCCCTCTGTGCGGTAAGAAGCATTTGTATATCTATCTTAGCAGTGTAGATTTATTGCCCTCTGAACTTTTGCTATAGACTGAAAATAACCCTGTATAATATATAATAAGTTGCTATGGTTATTGTTACACCAATGTAGTATACTGGCTATGCTGACAGCTCTCCTGCTGCATGTCCTTGATGCATACTGCATGTTAGGATTAATCACACGTATTGTCACAGTTGACACTGCCATTCCCTACAGAGGGTGTTAGTTAGGCATGATTTGTAGTTACATCCCTGATACTAATTTTTTAAAGTTTAAGTTTTTAAGTATTAATATTTTGTGTTGTATTTATTTCACGTGTGTGTGGTTTTATTGTGTCTCTTTTTCATAACAGCTTTGTGATGGTGTAAACCTTGGGTGCCCACTGCTGTTTCTAGCACATTTATATTCACATATAAAATATATCTATAAAAAATAAGGCAATGATGCAGCCCTCTGGAAGAAAACAACATGAAACAAACTGCAACATTTTAATGAAAGTCTCTTTAACAGAGAAGCTAACAGCAGAAATGCAATTGCATTGCTTCGTGTGTCAGCAGGCTGATCCCAAGGTGTGACTAGAAGCTAGCACATTATTTATGGGGCTGCTGGTATGTTATGCAAACATAGACACTTCCAGCATTTCTCTGCTGAATTTCTAATGAAGTGTACTTTGCAGAAGAGCAGGGAAGCAGCACTAAATGTGGTCAACCAATCCACACAACTTTCTGACAAGAGCTTCACCTCTAGAACAAAACATTGCCGTGCGATATGAAAGCTGCTCTTTTGTTAAGTTATTTCTGTATATTGACACTAAAAATACATAGCTTTTTTTTCCTCTAAAGAGCCTCTTCAACCAGGGGATATGTCTTAATTCAAGGCAGTATGTAATTTATCATACTGTATATGAAAGAAAGGTTTATCTTTAGAAAGCAGAGTGGTGTAATTTTTGACCTGTACCAGAGAACATAATGGCACATGGAGTGTTGCTAAGTATGCACATTGCTTAATGTGTCAAATAGTTTCACTCAGGAAAAGAAATGTTAGCTGAGATTTCAAAGATTAATTTAGAATCCTATAAAGTAGGATCTTTGCAATTCAGAGCACAGTTATTAAAAATACTTGACAAGAACTAGGTGGCGCATGTGCCTTAGTTCTTTGTTTCAGCGGAAATTATGTGTAGTTAAAGGGAAATCCCACCTTTTTAGAAATAAATATTAGTGTTGCACGTTTCTATAAAAGAAGAAAATTTGCATTCATTATTTTTTTTGCATTGGAGCCAGTAAAGCACTGCAAAGAGTGCTTGCTATGGCTTCTGCAGAGTCTTCCTCCTGTCTATGTACGTACCTCAGTACAGACACCCAGTAACATGGACAGAAGGAAAATGCACTAAAAGTCCCTCTGCTGCAGTTTCTCCATTCCTGTCAAAGGTCAAAGGATCTGTGAATAGAGGATGAGGCTGGGTGGGTAGAGCCATGCACAACCACGCCAAATTAAAATATGAACACTAGCCTGTGGGGAGAAGAACCCCCACGATTCAGGTAATTTGGGGGGAGTATGAATATGGATATGGGTATAAAATGAAACATAGTCAAGAAGGAAAACTTAGCCTTTGAAGAACTCCTCATCTAGTCCATCTCCGACTTACCCTTGCTGCCCCTAGCTAATCACGTGTTTTTGTTCGTAAAAAATCTAACCGAAAACCACAAATTACTTACCTCCTTTCTTATTTCTGGTCTGTAGTGTTGGTTTTTCTTACAGTCTACCTCAGGGCCCTCAAGAAGTCCTCACAGGGTTTTGAAGTCTCAAAAGCAGCAATATAAAGACATCACAACTAGTGAGAGCCTGGACTTGGTGCAGACTGGAGTCAATTTTAGCATATATCATCTTTATATGAAACCCATCATATGATGCTAGTGCCACAAGGTTGTTTGCTGTAGCTATATTTTACTCCACGCTTTGTCATACTATTGCACAGAAATGCAAAAACGTATGTGTCCATCTTTTTTTTTACCTGAAAGTATATGATCAGACTCAACACCCTCAATAGCCAAAAGGATCATCTTATCACAGCCCCTTTTCATGGTATAAATTTCACTGCATCTGACGCACACATACATACACACAAACAGCTTAATTTGTACTTATCTTAGAGGATAAGGTGAAACAAAGTGAAAATCATTTTGCAATTAATACCTAATCATGTGCAAGCAAATTTAAAAAAACAAACAGGAATTTAGATTTTTTTTGATTAATTGCATAATTAAGACAGCATGACCTCATCTCATTCACTAAGCTAAGTTAAGTTTTTCTTTGCAAAAGGAGTTTTCACTTAGCTTTATGAATGACTTTAATCATCCAATCATGTGCAAGCAAAAAAACCTGTTTCTTTAAAACTTTCCTTGCACGTGATTGGGTATTTTTTGCAAAGTGAATTTTCACTAATTGACACCTTATTTATTAAGATAAGTGATACATAATAAATAATGTTTTTTACATTTATTCAAAATGCTAACATGGGTGGGAATGTTAACGTTTTGTCGACGGGCTTTTGTTTGCTTCATACAGGTTCTGCATTTCCATACAAGTCTATGGGAATGTAAAAACTAATTTGAAGCGGTATAAAATGCAAGTCAGACGGAGGTGAACTGTGGGTCAAATGCACCTGTGAATGAATTCTGAATTATGTAAAACATGTTTCAAACTGATGTTAAACTGATGCGATCAACACACAACCATAAGCCCGCTGACACAGGCCCTTATCCTGCTGCAAAAACTGTATTAAAAACTATGCACTAAATTGCCACTTTAAGTGTATTTTGTCTAATGACAGCAATTAGCAGACATGTGGGAAATGATCTAGCATGGAGGATGCAAATTCAATTTGGCTTCTTTATGCTCCTGTAATACTTTTTTTAGGGAGCTGTATCTGATAATACTACCCCTTCTGACTGCCGGCAAAAAAATTAGGAATGCACAGGGAGGATGAGAGATATAAAAGACAGCATAAGAGAGCCTACCAAAGGTCCCCAAGAAATTAAACTGATGTATGCATGTTGACATGTTTGTAGATACCTGCAATGCTCCCCTGTATGCAAAAGTCAGATTGTTAAAGGTTTTAATAAAACATAGTGTACTGCTGCTGGAAAATTTATAAATGTATTATTAAAAAAAAAAGGGAAAATACATAGCTCTTATCTGTGAAGAAATGCTGGTCTACAAAGGATCCCTAAATGACAATTTTCCTATCCTGCTGGGAGGCTGCCTAACTTCATGGACAAATGAAAGTCTCCCAGAATTTCAGATGTGATGCATGGAACAGGGCAAACTTGTTTTCAGCCTGTCCTCAAACATTGATCGTATCTAATTTCTATTACCTAGAACATATCAAGTCTGCTGCCAAAACTTCTCTTGGATTAACCTATTAGTCTTTAAACTCTACAGAGAATTAACCCAAATGTTCTGTAGCCTAAGCCATTGCTTTTCACTGACATAGCAAAATGCTCAACAACAAATAGTGGCAATCTTTTCATTGTCTGCGCTTATTCCAGTATGCTTATTCAACCACAGATACCCCAAAATACTCTCAGTACAGAAATGTAAATCAATAGAAACTATGCACTGTTTACTCAATTTTTAAACAAATAATGGAAGATTTAAAGTTGTATACAGCTCTGTAAACT